AGTGGCAGGAGTGAAGAAAGGTGACAGCCTAAAAACAGCACTGCTAAGGAAATATACGTTCATTGGTCCACACCCTTAGTGTCACTAATTTATCTTGGACAACTACAAAGGCAGAAGTTAGTATGAGCCTACTGTTTCTCAACTATTATCCTGACCTATTGCTTATGTCATTTAAAAAAACAACCCAACCAACACAACAATAACCAAACAAAAAACCTTTCTGAGGAAAAACAAACTAACTAACTGTCTTTCAGGCCTTTCATATAAATGCATCACAGAAATGGCAAGAAGGTCACAAGTCCAGCTGTAAACATTTTCTTGAGTTCCTCTTTCAAGGACACCCAGTGGTGTTCCTCACAATAGGCAGTGAGATTTTCAGCAGAGTTGAAACGTGATTATGAAGAGGATTTGGTTGGAGCTGTGAGATGTGTTTTGCTGACTGTGCTGTCCTCCCAGAGTGCTTCTTGGGAAGACAGCCCCCTCTTCTGCCCTCTCGTGACCTCCAATTGAGAGATGTCATTCACATCCCTTTTTTCCCTAAGCCCTGAGATAAAATCTCAGTGAAGTAAATGCATATAGTCACATAGCTAGAGTCACATACCTATCTAGTGTAAATAAACTTTTGGTGACAGCCAAGGTACAATGCAAAGAGCAGGCAGAAAATTAAAGACTGTAAACATTAACCTTCCCTCTGAGAAGCCTGCAAAATTGTGCATCAAACTATGCAAGACCATTGTACCGATTCAGTGACTTCTACAAGAAGTTTGGGGCTGAGCTGATTAATTATTGATAGACAGCTCATGAGGAGCAATATACATCTGTAGTAGTGGTGAGACTTCAGCTCCAGCATCAGGAACAGGAAGGCACAAGAAGGGAGAGCTCTCAGCTCAATGTCCATGTGTGGAACATACTCTCCCCTGTTCCCGTCCCCATTCCCCCATACCACCACTAGCTTTGGACTCTTACACATGTACATTTCTCAGTCTCATAGATAAATCAGGTGTCTAATTCCTCAGCATATTGTGTACGGGTGCTTCAACACTCTCCATTCCAGGCAGGGGAAACAGAAAACTGCAGGCTGTATAGCCAGTCAAGGAGGCTGAAACTTCCCTCCTTTCTCCCTGTGCTCCACTTCTGATACAATCTCTTTGTCTTGTAAGCTTGCCAAGCTACCTTTCCTAGCTTCCTGGCCCACCCTTCATAAGTGCAAAGATAGAGCTGAGGGGGAGACAACACAGGACCTTCAGGGCTAAAAAAGCTTACTTGCATGATAGTTATGCAGAATTGACAGGTAAGTGCTTACAGATCATCACAGATTTTTGACTAATTACAGATAGGCGTTTCCCAGTTGGGAATGCATGTACACTGGGCACTGCACTACTCTGTCTCTGGGAGTCTCCCATACTGTCTTGTGACACTGTTACCCTCACCTGCAGGATCCCCAGAGGAACCGTGTGTACCAGTGGCAAGGGGTGGAACTAAAGACAGGTCTTACACAGCTCTCCTTCCCCCTCACCTCAGACCCCATCCAAGGCTCCTATAAAATAGTCGTGCAGAAGAGCTTCTCATCCCATGTGGAGCACTCCTTCAGTGTGGAGGAATATGGTAAGGAGAGGAGGTATGGGCTGCAAATGGGACTGACAGCAGTGCCTTTTACTGTGACCTCTCAATTTTGAATTTCCTGGGAATGGAATGGAGAAGGGAAGGACTGAATATACAGGCAGTGGGGTTAATAGAGGCTGAGCCAGAAAGCACTGACTCAAGAGAAGTAATTGCTCACTTCATGGCACCTCTGCGACCTGCCAGAGCTTGTATTTGCCCATAGTGCTCTTGGCAGTACAGGATATGACAGACTTCCTGTGAATGGCTTGTGGCACCAATTTCAGCTGACTTTGTTTTAGTTGCTTTTCAGTCCAGCAGCTTGTTGCAAGTAGCACTAGATAGGAAGTAATAGATTACAGAATTTTGGTGACCCTGTTTTGCCTCTCTCATCATCTGCATGAGTTCTGTTTCTCCACTTGTAGTCTTCTCTCTTTATCCTCTTCCTGGTTTCTGCAAAAGCTTAGAAAACATGTCTGGTAGAAAACTTGTAATTGAAGAACACTCCACAAGTGTTACAAGCAGCACAAATAGGCTGGTAGTAGAGACTAAGTAAGGAGAAATATGCAGCTGCAGGGAGCCTTCTAACCCCCAGTTCTGTAATAAAACTTCTCTGCTGTTTGTAGACATGTACTCTGGGTACATGGGCTCTGTGCATTTGGCAAGGCTGATTGGCCAGTGCTCCACATGTCCAGGCTCTCCACTGGCTCTACATGGAGCCTGAATAACCAGCACATAGATCGATACCTGCTGTTTCTGGAATATGCAGGGTGCAACTCAAAGAAGATTGTCATTGAAGTCCATGGGAGCTAGATTATTTGTCTCCAAGTCAGGCTTGGTGAATAATTTGACCACAAAGTCTTCAATCTGTCATGGTGATAGACGGGCTGTCCCTTCTCCCACAAAGATCATTCAGAACGCTCCCAGAATCAAAGATATATGTCCCTTTGTTAGCCTCAGACTAAACTAATTCTTTTTCATTTGTTCTTTAGTCTTGTTCCTGTGAAAATATCCTGTTGCTACTTCTCTTATAATCTTTCGTGTAAATGTGCCCTGGAGTTGAAACATTGAGCCTTGCTTCCCATCTTAGAGGCAAATATATGTCTAAACCATATAACCCAGTGTTGCTTTCCAGTTCTGGGTCTGGATGTGCACCCACCCTGCTGTTATTTCTTTGCACTGTGAAAAAAAAACCCAGGTGTGCTACTTGAAAGCAGGCCATTATATGCTTCAGTCCAGACCTGGGCTTGAATAGTTGGAAGCTTAGTGTTGCAGAATGCAATATGGGAAGAGGCATATAACTTAGTACTCAGGAGCAAAATGTGGGTTTTACTTCTGCCCCTTTATATTGGGCTTGATTTCTGCCTTGTCCACTTGAAAATATAGACCTGAGAGTCTGTGGCTAGATTCAGTAGAAACTCTGGGCATGCAGGACAGTATCTCTTGGTATATATTTTTGAGCTTAACAGCAACTTGGGATCTCCAGGACAGTAAGAATCAGCTGAGAGAATCAATGATTCAAGCCATTTCAATGTGGCAAACTACAAAGGTGGTGAATGTGCTGCTCCAAATCCTAGCTGCAAATTATGCACTGTGAATATAACATATAGGACCAGTGTGTCCTTCTGAATGGACATATGTAAGAGATCTACATAGCTGTCTGATGCCAATGGGATCACATAAGGATGTGTGCAAATAAGGGAAGATAAGGACACCACACTTCCTTAATTCCCTTTGAACCCAAACAGTGGTGAAGGCTGAGAAAACCTAGGGAGGGGGTAGGAGATCTGTATTGAAGACCCCAGAGAGGTTCATATTAAGATGATCCTGGCTCTGTGTTTGGATTGCCGTGTAAAAGGCTTGGGTTGCAGCTCTCATTCACTCTTCTCATATCAGACTTTCTCTCTCCCATCTAGTGCTGCCCAAGTATGAGGTCCTGGTGAAGTTGCCCAAGATGATCACTATTAAGGACAACGAGATTCCGGTGTCTGTCTGTGGTCTGTGAGTCACAGAGCTCCAGTAAATCTCTCTTGCTTATCCTTCACTCCTCCTTTCTGCTGAGGACCAAAAGAAGAGATGGGGAAGGCTTTTTATACTTTTCACAGACATTAGTGTAGGCTTCTTTCACCTTATCAATCCTGACCCTGCTACTTGGCCTGAACAGTCAAAGTGAAGGGTTTTCTCTATGTTCCTTAAAAGATGATGTCAAACCAGTCTTCAGCTCTGTCTTCCCAGTTTACTGTACATTTTCTGGTTTTGTCTTTGCATTTCTTCAGTTTGAGCTTCTCTGCCAATCCCAAACTCTCAAATATTTAGAGATGTCAGGTCAGACATCATGTAAACAGGTGGTGCAAACCCAGTGTTCTCAATTTTAATTCATAAATTGCTCCTCCTGAGTCCGTGGTTGCTTTTCCATTTCTTCACTGAACCCTCAGCAGTTTGTAACACAACAATACTCCTGGCTGTAATGATTTTGTACAGATGATTTTTTCTGTAGAAATCTCCCACCTGGAACAGATTCCAACAGAAAATGGAAGAATCTAGCCATTAAAATGATGTAAATGTAGCCCCTTGAATCATTAAAATATGAGATTAGTCAAACCTTAACAAAAAGTACTAGGAAGTCATGCATAGAGGTCTTTAAGGAGATGCATCTAAGTGTGACTGACTGATTGTCTCATCATCCGATATATTGTTTTACACTTTGTGATTATAGGTACACCTATGGAAAACCTGTTCCTGGTTTGGTGAAAGTCCAAGTGTGCCGGAAATTTTCCCATTCTGCTTCAAGTTGTTATGGAAAAGAAGCAGAAGCTGTATGTGAAGAATTTACTAGACAGGTGAGTCCCAATATTAAAATGTAGGGGTCTTTCTCATGATTTATGAGCAATGTTGTCTTAAGAGATGCCAAATCTGTGGCTGTTGAGAGATAGTAGGACATCCAAGATAGCAATCTATCCAAGGAAAAGCAGATACTCACAGAGGAATGCATTCTTAAGAGCTGGGCATTAAACTGGAAACAGAACTGATTAAGAAAACTCCACAGTTGAAATCCTGACCCCACTGAAACTAGTGACAAATCTCCAGTTAGCAGGTGTGAGGTCCTTGCTATTGTTCTGCAAATTGAGAAGAGAATCTGTGAAAGAATTTTGTAACTGTAAGAGGGACTGGCAGGGAGCAAGGGACAAAGATGAGGAGAAAACAAGGCAGCGTAGAGAACAAGGAACAAAGATGAGGTGGTATTGTATATGGGTCAAATACAGGAGAAAGGAGAAACGGCAACAAGGGGAAGAGTGAAGGCAATGAAAGAAACAGGAAGGAAAACAGAACTAAGGTAGGAGGGAGCCAACAAGGAAACTAGTGTGTGCCTTGGAGAACTGTGTGTCAGGTACCTCACAGAACAGAAAATGTGTGGATGAAACACTAGGAAACAGGCTGTAAACAAGTTCTGGGCTTGGTGACAACCCTTGAGCATAAGTCTGGGGATTCATGAACAGAATTTAAGTATGTTCAGTTTGGGGTATCTATTCCTGTCAACTTTGTTCACAGAATTTCAGTTTTCTTTCCAATCCCTTGCTTAGGCAAATGCTCGTGGGTGTGTTTCTGGTGCAGTGAAGACCAAGGTATTTCAGCTCCAACGCAGGGGATATGAGATGAGCATTGAGGTACAAGGCAAGATCACAGAAGATGGCACAGGTATGTATCACATGGAGATGGCAAAGTGATAGCATGCCATAACAGGAGGGCCTGGCAAAAACAAGGAAGATGGAGTAACATGACTAGAAATGCTACCATTCATTAATAACCCTTCTTTACTGTGCTCTTTCTCAGGAATAGAGATGACTGGAACAGGCTCCTGTGGTATCACATCCATCATGAGCAAAATCAGCTTTGACCTGCTGGACTCTCAGTATAGACCAGGGATCCCACTCTTTGGAAGGGTAGGGAGCTTCTCAGATCATGGACAATGAATGGCATAGCAAACTCACCTGTGCACGATCCCATCAGATGGAATAGCAGTGTGTGCAGGTTCCATGGCCCACCTTCCTCTGCCATTGCACAGGCAGATGAATTACTGATAGTTGGGGCACTCTTAACAGACACATGACTCTGACACTCCTGGCAGGCAGCCCAGTACAGAAGAAAAGATCCATTGTTCTAACACATGAGAATAACATCAGGGAGCAACAAGCATGGACTATTCCACAAGGGAATATTATCCAAGTGCAAAGAGTGACCACAACACAGGTAGGAGTAGTGACCTCATCAACAAGAGCACAGTCCCACAGTAATCAACCAAACTGAGCAGGGCAGGAGTGGTGACAGTAACAGGTTCCACCATCAGTCTAGTGACCACCTGACAATGTGAAGTGATGGATGACTGTCAGGGCTAAGCTCAGCCAAGGCAGCCCAGTTAACCAGATGGGAACAGCAGGAGAAAGAGCTAGGTGTAGGCCTACCTCCAGTGCCCCTTTACTCTAGAACATCCAATGTATCTTTACTCTAGGGCAAGGCACAGGCCAGAACTTAGAGTTCCTGAATCAAGAGGCAGATGATATGTGGTGGAGGTCAAGTAACATACTGCCTGGCAAGGAGGGAAAGATGGAAGAGACTTTAGTACTTTGAAATTTTTTTTCTGTTGCTGATCTAAAACCTGAAGTTTCTTATTGCTTTGGTAGGTGAAGCTGGTTGATGGCACTGGTGATCCAATTGCCAATGAAACCATCATGATTTCTGTGGATGGAGACAGATACAAGGGGAATTACACTACAGATGAGCAGGGACAATCCTGGTTTTCTATAGACACTACCACCTTCACACAAGCCTCCCTGGAAATTCGAGTGAGTGACAGAGACAGGGGTAAACCTGTCTTTCTCATCAACAGGGAAAGTATCCATTCATGTGTTATCAGTCTTTCTGCCAATTGAACAATAAGGCAAGTTTCTTGGCAGGTCACCTGTCTTCTCTGCATCTCCTGTGAATGTTCTCTACCATCTTCTAAGAATGGGAAATGCAGAACATATCCAGAGCTTTTCTGTGGGTTTTTCTGTAACTTGTTATCTGGTTTTGGTCAGCTATGAACTTTTAATTCTTCTTTCTCAGGCAGATCATAAACCTGAACTGAACTGTTATGACAGCAACTGGATCACACCATCATATGAGCATGCCATGCGTAGAATAAGTCGGTTTTACTCCCCCAGTAAGAGCTTCCTCAAAATTGAGCCAAAGCCTGAGACTTTAAGTTGTGGCTCCCCTACAGAGGTGCAGGTGCACTATATCTTCACACGAGAAGCCATAGGAGAGCAGAAGAAAATTGCCATTTACTATTTGGTAAGAAGTATTTGTGGTTACTTTGATCTATGACCACAGAAAGTACTGTGGCACCTATAGCTATATTCCATGATGAATGCTGCTATGTATTAGCCAGTAATGATAGAGAGGGTTTGCAATGGAAAGTATGGCCTGTAGAAATGCAGTCTAAACACATTTCCATAATGTTTCTCATTTCTCTGTCTTCTGTGTGCAGATATGAGTACATGTTTTACTAAGAACAGAAGAGATACAAAATATTGATGAAGAGAGCACTGTCTTGGGCACAGCCATCCAAGACTATCAGTTCATGATATTCCACTCTCAGTTTTCCCATTTAAATTCTGATTTATATATAGTCACCACTCAGAAACCAGTACCCTACAACAAGAGTATGAAAGATGAGAAGGAAATGTGTCTTCTACTCCATTTTGCCCTTTAGTAGTCATCTGACTGATGAAATTAAAGCAATACCTCTCACTACTGTACCAGAAAAGCCCCTTAAGCTTAGAGCTTAGATTGTATGCCAGGAAATCATGAAAATTTTGGGATACCACAGTAATTGGAACAGACTATAACATGCTAGCAATAAGAACTATGAATTTGTTCATTTTGGGGGATGTAGAAGAGAGACTAATTGAACTGTGATCAATGATCTGTCAGTTTCTCTTGGGAGAACAGGAAGAATCAGAGAAATATTCAAATAGAATCCCTTTCTCCCTAAATTTTTCTGCTTATCCCATTTAATGACACTAGCAGAAGAGATGAGAGTAGCTTTGAAGAACCAGAAGAAACCAGTGGAACAGACATTCCTGTTCTGATGCATTGTACAGAACATGGCAGGGTCATAGGCTGAGATTGCAAAAAAGGGAGTAGAAACCTGTGTTAGAGATGTCTATGTGCTTATTTCAAGACTGCTAACAATTAATTGAAGGGAAAGATAGCTGTTTACTCTGGTAGTCTGGGAAAACTGGTCTTAAGTATGTACATACAGCAGGTAAACAAAGAGTGAGAGAACTTGCATTTTTATAGGTGTGGATCCCACACCTTGAAATGAAAATATGGTTCTGTGTAATAGATATTCTACAAGGAAAATAATAATATAAAATGTGGGTTTGAGCATGAAAAATGAAACATTTTCTAGAAAAGAAGAAATTGCAGGTACCATTCAGGCTGTTACTGACTGACTTAAGGTACCTTATTCCAGCTCTTATTATGTACAGCCTGTACTTTTCTGTTACAGCTCTACGTGAGTTATGAAACTAATTCTGATTACATTTTTCTTCAGACTGTTTCACAATGCAACTGAGAGTGGAATTAGGAGAATATTTGACCATGACTCTGTTCCAAATTGTTAGAAATGTGCATATGACCCACAAACCTATGTGTGGTCAGAGGCAAAATGTATTTGAACCTGATCTGTGTGTGCAATATGTACAAAAACAAAGACAGGTCTGATCAATGAGGAAAAACTAGTCCTCCTGGGAGCAAATATTTGTCTCTCCAAAGGCCCAGTGAATTCCAGTCTGGCACTTGCTTAATATCTTCTTGGTGTTTCTCAGTGTTGGCAATGCTGTTTGTACTCACACTCTACAAATAACCCAGTGAATGTTTCTCCTCCTTCCCTTTAAATACAAGTAGAAATAATTACTGGAATGTTTCTCTGTCACACAGGTGATGGCCAAGGGACGAATTATATTAGCAGACACCCATGATCTGACTGTGAATCCTGGAGATGGTGAGCAAAACTATGCATTTTTAGCATTTATGATGATAATTTGGGGATAGGGAGGACATAGATAAATTATTTCAATTCAAAGATTTAATTTAACATTTAATTCAAACACTAAATGTAATGTTTGCATTTTCAAAATTCAAAAATAAAAAATGACTACTCTGCCCTGTTCTGATTTTGAAGCTTGAGGGAAAAAGGAGTTGGGAACATCAAGAAATTATGCCAGATGTTAACTGGGAGAATCTAGAAGGCATTCTGAGGCCCTCCAAACTCATCTCATTTGGCTGTTCACGATCACTCTTTGAATGCAGGTGTCTTCAGCAAAGCCAGAGACATCAGTCATTTATCAGTATTCCCTCCCCTGCTAACTAAAAATGTTCACCATAAGTGAACTTGACTTTTCTATCTGGAGAAGGCAAATGCATATACTGGAACTTCTGGTATGTTGATTAGCCTTTTTTTTTCTCTCAGCTTATGGGACATTTCAGTTGACCTTCTCTGTTGAGGCAGCAATTGCTCCCCTGGCACGGATGCTTGTGTATACCACTTCACCCAGTGGGGAAGTAATCGCCAGTTCAGCAGATTTTCAAGTTGAAAGTTGCCTCCCCAATAAAGTGAGTATAAGTCATGGTTTATGCAACCCATGTTTGTCTTGTGGCCAGTAGTTCAATTATTTGTTCCAGAACAGAGACAGAATTCACAATGGACTCCTGAAATGTCTGACCAGAGGTTGGCTGAAACTCCAGAACAAGTTACAAAGACATAAAAAGTGGAGCAAGATGACAGAATTTTAAAAAAAGAATAATTCGTCATTATTAATTACATTGGTCAAAGCTGAATATGTATTAGTAGAATTGCAAGGCACTAGCAGAGCTCAGTTCATGAGGCTAGATGCATCAGTATAACAGCATGTAACAGTGTCTGGAAAAGTGGCTGCTTGAACTTAATTTTGGATTTGCAGGTGAAATTGAGTTTTGCACCCAAGGAAGGTCTTCCTGCCTCCAAGACACACCTGCAACTCCACACCTCGCCAAGGTCCCTGTGTGCCCTCCGTGCTGTGGACAAGAGTGTTCTCCTTATGAAGCCTGAAAATGAGCTCTCTCTCAGCTCTGTAAGTTGTGGCTACTTCTGGTAATAAGCAAGTACAACAACGAATCAAGTACCTATTAACACCACTATAGACATGGGGCTATGTATTTTTATAGTTGCATTCACTACACTTGTTTTTTGGTGGCTGGCATTTATGAGTGGAGTGCTAGATAGTGTCTGTCCCTGTAAGTGCTGACCTGCTGCATTTTTCCCTGTTTTTTTTTTGCATTTTCCAGGTGTATGATCTTCTTCCACTGAAGGAAATTCGGGGTTATAACTTCAAGGAGTACTACCTGGAAGAAGACAACATAAACCCTTGTGTGTCACTTGACAATATGTTATTAAATGGATTTGTCTACATACCCGTATCTCCTGATGGTGAAGGCGATGCCTATGACATTCTCAAAGTAAGCAGCAGCTTCTCTTATTTCTTTTCTCACCTTTTGGGAATTCAGTCTTCTCTCCTCTTTTCACCTGTACTCAAGGGCTTTTTAATGGGAAAAAAAAAGCAAGCTCAGTTGCTGTGAGCTTGCTAACTTTTGTATGCAAGAAAATAACTAGGCCCAGGCCCTGCATCTACTTAGCCTATCACTGGTGTTTGACTGCTTCTTTGAACCATTAAAACTTTGAAAAATCTTCTCATTGCTAGTAGAGATGCCTGCAAATGGGCTTGAGTAAGGAAACAGTCCTGAGAAATTCTGGTGCCATAATATTAGAAACTCATCCTCATTCGTTCATGTTTTCTCACTCTGGTTTAAATAAGTCTTTAATAAAACCAGGTTAATTTGATACCCCCCAAATCCATCTATACCTATCTAAAGTGTCCTGCACAAGACTTCTTGGGTACCTTCAATCTAATGCTTTTCACACGTTATTTTCACCCAGGCAGATGTTCCCAAGGTGGACCTATGGCCTTAGCTTTCCATCTGATCATGCCAGGATTTAGCCTTAGTATGACTGTAACATGATGGAGCCTCAGCATCTGAGTTGGCCCAGTCTATCTGGAATTTATATACAAGCCTTCATTATTCTGATTAATACCAGACTCAAGTACACCTATTCTTGACATACTAAATAAGGTTTATTTTAAAAACATTTTGTGCATATTATTTGTTCTTCTTTCTCTTTGTTTACTAGGAATTGGGCTTAAAAGTCTTCACTAGCAGCAAGATCCATAAGCCTGAAATCTGCCAGCATTACCCAGGACACATGATGGAAAGGAGTTACAGTGGTTCTAGTACCTTCTTTATTTTACCTCCCACAGAACTTCCTAAAATTTACCACCCTACTTCTTTCCTGCCCTCTACATCTTTGAGTATTAATTACCATGCAGATCTGATTCTGTTCAGATATGCTGATCTTATTCAGGATCACTCCCTTCTGGACTCTGTCCTGAAATATGAAACTGATCCACCTCTTCCTGCTTCTTCCCATCTAGAGAGAAGTGCCTGGCTAGAACTGTGTGTGCTTGGTGACTCCCATGCCAGCCCCTACAGCAGGGATTTCTAGGCACTAAAAGAGCCTTCCATCACAAAGTAGTGGCTTTTTTTCTATCAGATCTGAGTTCAGACATGGAAACCTAAAAAAGGAGTCTCTGCTTCTAGGTAGCCAGATTCTAGCAATAACTAGAGAAACAACTAGGGCAAAAGTGGTCCAAGAGAAAATGAGAAGGTGGTACCATCCTGTGGTTAGCTGTTTTGCCACTAAGGGCTGAAAAATTTGGTTCTGTTCCCAGCTTTCCCACTCCCATGAGTATAAGGGGACGGGTAGGTCATGTCACATCTCTATAGGTTCAGTGGCTGTGAAGATAGGATAGTGATAATATATCTGCTTGCTTGTTTGTTTGTTTTCCTGAATAGTTCTGAGATTAGAAACACTATATAAAAGACTCTCACCTGTATCACTTCCAGTCACTGACTTTTCTGGTGCAGTATCACAGCTCCTATTAAAAATTGATAGCTTTTGGTCATGTGCTAGCTTCTAGCCTTCTATTCATAACAGATCAGATATTTTGTTTGGAGCTGAAGGATATGTCATCAGAGCATGATCCAAGACAGCTGTCTGCTTTAAAAAGATGTAGAGTCTTCTAGGGCTGATGGAAAAGCCTTTGATAAGGCACAACAAACACTATGCAACACTGTGAGAAAGCATCTTTCTGTTTATTTGCTATTGGCCAGAGATGTAAAGACCCATATTCATCTAAAAAGAAAATCCTAGATGGACGGCTAAGTGTGGCTTCTGTTTCTGGTCATGTATAAACTAAATCAATTCTTGAACCAAATTATTAAATTATGTGCTAGGGTAATATCTGGAGACAGTAAATTTCTCATCTGATTCTGTATCACAGTAGAAATATCCCCTCAATAACATCGTCATAAATGGTTCTCTTAGCACTTCTGGGTTTGCTGGTAGTGGAGGAACAATGTTCAACTCCATCCAATTTCTGTAAGAAGAGCAGCAATATTAGAAAAAACTAAGTACTGAGATGGCAACAGAGAAGTGCATGTTTCCAGTCGCCAAGATTCCAAAGCTGTTCATTCAGTTTTAAAATTTTAGCTAAGAATAATCACTACCTGGAAGGAAAGTGTGTCCCTGATTTAGAATGGTGTTTGACATATCTTTCCTTTCTTCCTGTCCTTAATAAATTTGCTAGTCACTGCAATGAATCTGCTTGACGCATACGATTATGACATGGTAGAAGATCTGGATGATGGCAGTCATGTGGAGACTGTTCGGAAGTACTTCCCTGAGACATGGATCTGGGATATAGTTTCAGTGAAGTAAGTGTTTAAGGGAATGTAGAGTGTGTTCACTAGATCAAAACCTTGAAACAGGTTAAAGCCTGTTATTGGCATTTCAATGAGAGGACTTTTTCTAGTAGATTTTATAAGGTCCCTAAGTATAGGAGGCTTTGGGGGAACATGTGAAAGCCAATGCCCATATCCCACCTAGTCAGGAGTTTGCTGTCAGCGGGTGTTGTTTCGTAGGCTGAGAGAATATAACCAGAATATAACTGAAATCTTGTTCTCCATCCCTCACCAGCTCTGAGGGAAATGCTGACCTAGATGTGACCATCCCTGATACCATCACTGAGTGGAAAGCCAATGCATTCTGCACTTCAGCAGACACAGGCTTTGGCCTGTCCCCAACAGTGTCCTTCAGAGCCTTCCAGCCCTTCTTTGTTGAGCTCACCATGCCCTACTCTGTAGTGCGTGGTGAGTCCTTCACGCTGAAAGCCACCGTTTTCAACTACCTGAACAGCTGCATCAGGGTAAGGGACGTTTGCAAGTTTACTCAGCCTGACACTCTAGAGAAGACCACAGAGGGTCACTTGTAACATGGTTTCCCAAGCCAGATGACTGATCTCCAAATATAATTTCATATAGGTGCACATATGTAGGAATTCTTGTTATATTCAGTGAAGAGGAAATACATTTTCCTGTCAAAGTTTCAAAAGCTGCATTTGATGCAGAACCTAAAGTGCTGAGAACCCCAGCCTTGTCATCACAAATTTATGTCATTGTCCTATAGAAATACGAAACTTGCGTTATTCATGGACCGCAGCATCATTACATACCCACATGGAAAGTCCAGGTTCACCAGGGTGAATACCTGTAGTCAGCCTTTAGTCTTATCTCACAAAATATCACAGCAGATTTGCTGGAATATGCAGACCTCCTGTGATTTGTTGCATCTCTCTATAGGACACAGCAGAGTTATATAGCTTCACTATTCTTATCTGCATTTTTTCACCAACAAAAAAAAAGATGAGAGAATTAGGGAAATGATTCCTACAAAATCTCAGTCACCTTTGCTCAGTTTTTTTAATAAATACAGATTTTTATTCTAAAAGATATGAAGCTGAAACAAGGAGAGGTATTCATCCAGCCATTCCAATGCACTCTCAGTTATTTCCCTGCCCTTCCTGTTTTGTTTCCTATTTTCAGGTGCCTTATTCCACTTTTCCTTATTCCCTTACTAGCTTTCCCACCGCTATTGTTTTATCTCTTCACCTAACTAATCATGAAGGGGGTCTTTAATTCATGGCACAACTGGTCCATGCTATTCATTTTCCCAGAACTGATTTTCTTTCCAAAGATCCATGTCCTGTTCTCTGCACTTAGCTCCCTGATCTCTACAAATGTACACATCTCAGTCATTTCCTCCTTTATCCTGCATTGTCTCCAATAACTCCACTTTCTCTCCAAGTGCAATCTTCATGACATCTCTCTGTATAACCGGCAGGTCAGTGTGTCTCTGTCTGAATCTCCTCATTTCCTGGCTACACCAGTAGAGAAGCAGGAAGAATCCTACTGCGTCTGCGTGAATGAAAGGAAAACTGTGGCTTGGGCAGTAACACCAAGATCTCTAGGTATGAGGCTGGGTGACAAGAAAATACTGGGATCAGATACCTCTCTATGATATTAGATCTTTGTTGTGAGGAGCTAGGAGACTCCAAACCTGTCTGGAAGGATCTTCTCTGTGTCAGAAGTCCAACCCTGAGGTTGAGACACTACACTGTGTAGTGTTTCCAAGTCCTAAACAAACCATTTTAATGTTACAGGCCATTGTTTCTTAACATTTTAATAGAAATCACAAATTCCCTCAGTGGATGCATCATGAAGGAGGTGGCTTGGAAGGCTGCAGCTGGATCAAGATAAAACAGTCTCAAATTTAGCTCTCCTCTTGAAAAAGCTTCTTTGTAATGCATCAGAGAGCACCCAGCACAAACACAAACCCACATTTCCCTGGCTCAACCTGGCAGGGCTGACTGACCCCTGTTTCCTCCAGGGCAGGTGGAGTTCTCGGTGAGCACTGAGGCCCTACAGAACCAGAAGCCCTGTGGGAATGTGGTTGTGGAGACCCCAGGGAAAGGGAGGAAGGATACGGTCATCAGACAGCTGCTGGTGGAGGTATGTGGAGTCGTATGTGGCATGGTATTTTGGCACAGAAAAGTAGTAATAGCAACAGCAACAGCTGCTGTATGATAAAGGTTTTCTGCTGTAGCTATGAGAGCAACAATATTGGCTTGTGGGACTCTTATTCTGCAAGCTTTTATAAAAGTAGCATTGATGAATCTAACACAGGCCAATAGAGCCCATAACTCACAGTGTTGCCATCTCATAGTAAAAGCAGGGTTTGCATTACACAGTGAGACAGAAATAATAAGGCAGGCAATAATGGCAGGTTTTTCTGAGACACACCATATCTGAGATAAATGAGAACTCCTTGGTTTAAACTGTAATAAATCACAGGGATAGGCTGTATAAATGGAAGACTTGCCAGAAACCTTATGTTTCTCCTCCAGCACATGGCCATTACTCTGGAATATGGAACAGTCATGACAATCTATAAATATTTCCAAACAAATCCACCATCACTGTTTTGAATTGGTTTTATTACACTTATAAGAATGTTCAAAACAGTGTAACAATCATTTTATTTTCGCATTCTTTTGTACACTGTTTTCTTAAGCAGTGTTTTGAAATGTTAAAAGCACAGCTTTTCACATGATAAATTGCCAGTCATAAAATTAATCCACAGTTTAAGACTCCCTGTGATGCTAATAGCAAACAAAGCCTACTAGCTCATTGTATAGTAAAATCTATGTAATAACTCCTCCTTACATTTCAGACATTCCAATCTTCAGTAAGGCAGAGCTAGGATTGTAGCTAGAGCTTCCGAAAATGTTTTGCTAACCTGAATGTAATGATGGAACAACAATCTTATCTGCTAGGCTTTTTTAAAAAAATTATTTACAAATGGATTTGAATGTATAATGCATGAATAACTGTTTAACATTTCAGGAAAAATTCCTAATTTCATATGTGCCTTCAGGAAATAGACTGTTTATTTTGTTCTTTGAAGACACTAGAAGATCAGCACTGTAAATTCTTTTCTCCCAGATGGCAGGGGAATGAAAATTAAAGAGCATTAAAGTTACTTATGTCAGGGTGTATGAGAGATTGCTCGTCTTATCTTGCATTTACAATGTGGTAATTAATCTATAGCAAGCCTTGACTGGTTGGAATCAGACATTAGCATCGAAGGCTGAACAATTAATTAGCAGGAGTGGATACAGTGCAACGTGCTTGGGATGAAGCTGCATTGTCACAAACACATGGATGACGATATTCCTTAGAGCAGGCAGTGCATCCCAGGGAGAGAGCAGGGAGTGTGCCAGAGGCCCTGGGGTGTCCTCTTGGCCCTCCAGAAACCAACCCTTGCTGAGAGGTAGTTGGGAAACAGGATGGTTTTTCACCCAGGAATTTCTTATCTGAAAAGGAAAATCAAATGATTACAGTTTGTATGTTTTAACTTCCTGTCGAAATGTTCAAAATCAAACAAAACAATGGATTTCTCATTTAGTTGAATTTCAGAATGACATACTGAAAAAAACAAGAAGGTGCCTTTTCAAACAGAAGCATTATCTCTGTCATAGCTTACTTGAAAAGCTTTTTTTTTTTTTGCTTTTCCCACTCTTTTAATATTTTTCTGTCTTTTCATATTGAATAATGAGAGACAGTGTCTTTTAACTGTGTGAAAAAGTGAAGAAAATAGCACCATTGTTTACATGCTGGAAAAAATTTTCATCTAGCAAAAGTTGGAAACCAGTAATGAAGCAATGGGAACTCTCCTATTCGGAGGTTAAAAAATAAGCTCTGGCAAAAAAAAAGTGTTTTCTAATAAACATTTGATTCCTGAGGTTTTTGCAAAATATTTTCAACCAGCTCACCAGAAAGGAGGGATTCTTTTCTGACTTCAAAAACTAGGCTAGAAGTTTTTGAAATAAAGGGATGCAATTGCCAGTCTACTGTGGCACGTATTTAAATCTTGGTTGTTGTAACAAACAACAATTAAGCAATTACATTTTGGTTGTTGCCACTCATGGGTGTACTGGAGTGCTCAGGTTACCAGCCTTTGTTATGGTTGCTGTTGTTTCTCATTTTTTTGCTTTTTTGTCATGCCTTTTTCTCCAAGCCGGAAGGGACTGAAGTGGAAACTGCATACAACTCTGTACTCTGTGCATCTGGTAAGAGCTGTTTGCTTTCTAAGACTTTCCTTGCTGAGGTAGAGACTAAAGACAAAGGGAGAAGAAAAGGTTTGTGAATGTCCCACTCTGAGAACATTGAGCAAACTATATGTATGTCCAAATTTCAGTGAAATTAATTCTGCCTAGAGAAGAAATGCTGAGGATGTAATAGTGTCTACAATTACAGAGGCAGAAGTATATCTCTTAGGAACTGAGGCTGGCCAGGTCGCTGCAGGGAGAGAATATTTAAGATTTAATAAGATTATATCTAATGCCTTTCATTCAACAGGTGTGAAATCACAGACCAGACTCTGCAGTAAGCAGGTCTGCCCACCAAAGCAGAAGAGGAGAGAAAAATAGTCTGGAATGAGTATTTGTCAGTCAAGACCAGCTAATAGTGCGATGTAGAAGTTCATGAAAATCTGCATGTGAGGGCCTTGTAGGCCCAACACAAAATTTGCAGGATGGGAAGTTTTATCAACAAAATGACAGATAAATGGATTGTTGAAGGCAGTGATGGTGTCTCACCCATGGGTATCTTCTACCCATGCATGTAGATATATCTAGATTTGTAACCAAATTCATCTGTTTTTATATCCCAGAAAAGTCAATGTCAGAGTCAGTTTCCTTGGTTCTCCCAGAGACTGTGGTGGATGGCTCAGCCAGAGCATATTTCTCAGTGCTAGGTAAGTCAGGTGTTATTTTGAGACATTGGCATGTTTCTACAGGCCTTGCTCATTCTAATGGATAATATACACTGTACATTGTCCTGTTCCCCAGGTGACATCATGAGCAATGCCATGCAGAACCTGCACCAGCTCCTCCAGATGCCTTTCGGCTGTGGGGAGCAGAACATGGTCCTGTTTGCACCCAACATCTATGTCCTGGACTATCTGAACAAGACAGGGCAGCTGAGTGAAGAGGTCAAATCCAAGGCCATTGGATACTTAGTGAGCGGTGAGATGGGACACAGCTTTTCCTTTTCTATTAATCCCTTTCTTTGGCAGCCGGATAAGGACACTATTGGCCGCTAGCATGTATGATCTGGGGAGGCTGTCCTGGTCCATTCTCTGGAAGGGAACGTCATATTGGTAGGTTAGGTGTATATAATACAGTATCTGTAAGAAAGAAGCCTATGCTCAGGTGGAGTTATAGCATGGAAGATGATAACATCCAAAGCAGCACACATAAAAAGTCCAGGACTGTGAGTAACTCAAGATTTCTCTCTATTAAAAAAGGGTTATATGAAATACATAGATTATAACCATGAATCACAGCAGCTCTTTATGTAGCTCTCAAATCCATCTTAAGATTAAAATTTAGAAAGTGTTGCTTACCTTTGACTAGTCCAGAATTTTGACACATTAGCTAGGACATGCTGACAGACATAGCACCAGCACATAGGCACATGGTGGGTATCTGCTGACTATCGGGACTCTTTTGACATAGTTGTTTTTGCAGGAAAACTACACTTTCTACAATGAAAATTGTCTTGTTTTATCCTATCCTCTGTAGGGCTCACATTTTTATTCAATTCTCCTCTGGGAACTGTTTTCCCATTTCTTTCAAGTCTGGGATGCATTTACCTCTCCTCATCAAGTCTAGGGCAGAGAGCAGTAATGGTCACAGATACCCAATTTCCAGGCATTTTAAGAGAGAGGAAGAGCACGAGAATGGAGATACTGAGAGCTGTGGGTTTGTCTGAACTTCCATTGTAATACTGAGCAGCATAGCTCACACTTGTGCCATTAGTTAAGGAAGACATTCTGTCTTCTATGTTCCCTTTGCATGGCTCCTTGGAAAGTACTGTGGCAACTGAAATATTTTTTAACTCTGTATTTCAGGATATCAAAGGCAATTGAAGTACAAACACTGGGATGGTTCTTATAGCACTTTTGGGCCACGTTATGGGCAAGTTGGAAATACCTGGTAATACTTCAGTCCCACGGGCTTTTCATTTCTGCCTTTCATGCCCTCCCCTTCTTCAGTGTTCTCTTGTGCTTGGTCATTGTGGAGGTTGAAATTGAGTTGGATATGAAGTTATAATCATGGTGTCATAGAATAATCATGTGAGACAACATAGCAGGAAAGGATGCTAAGGGAAGGATGCTTTTTACGTTTACAATGCTGCATTGATATCTACTTGCCTCCTCTGACACCCTTCTTCAGCTCAAGTGAGGGTGACCTGCAAGACAACATAGCTAGTTCTTGTTAGCAGAAGATGCTGATGCATCCCCAGAGTGCCTTGCCCACTTACCTACAGGCCTCAGGGCAGTGAATAGCAGGCTCCATTTAGCATTGGTCCCTATCTCACTGAGCTGTTAAGCTATCTCATTTTCCAACAAGCCCACTGTGATCAAGTCCTGTAGTCTCCTCCAGAACAGTAATGTCCATATGGGCCCTATGACTTCTGATGGATACAGGGCCTACTCAGAATGTCTTGGTTCCCTCTATTGCTTTCAGGCTCACAGCCTTTGTCCTCAAGTCCTTTGCCCAGGCCCGGCCACACATCTTCATAGATGAGAAGCACATCCAGGATGCTTTGGTCTGGCTTACTCAAAAGCAGAAGGAGAATGGATGTTTCCGCAGTTCTGGGACTCTCCTGAACAATGCTATGAAGGTAATACATCTGCCTGGATGACTCCACGTGGGCTTTGTCAGCTGGAACTTGACACTCTGGGGTCAACAGAGCTATTTCAGCACTTGGGGGTTGGGGAGGAGTGGGGAATTATATATGTGAGCTATCACAGAAGCAAGAAGTCAACAGCATCTTCTGAAGGACTTAATATGAAAAGGAGGCTAGGAAGAATTTGTCCCTGCTGGATGTAGATATGTAGCACAGGGAGAAACCAGTCATGCTGTGTGAGGTCAACAGCTCCTTTTGTGTTTCCCTGCAGGGTGGAGTGAATGACGAGGTCACACTGACAGCCTACATCACTATTGCATTGCTGGAGATTCCTCTGCCTGTAACCGTATGTGTCTGCACCCCAACCTGAGCCACAGATGGTACTAACCTGCCCTACTACAGGCCCCCTTACATTATCAGGTCCCTTTACTTTTTAAAAGAAGAAATACTGTCTGAATAGTTTTTCCATTTAAGCCTAGACTGAAATAGCACTTTTCCTTCCCTTGTCCAATCCTGTCTCCCTTATACATACTTCACTTAACCTTACTCTGAATTATTTTGTGGACAATCATGGATTTGCTGCTTTAAAAGGGTACAGTTTGGATTAACAGTAAGTTAAATAATATTTAAATCTCTTAAGTGAACTTAATATACAAAGCACAAAGCCACTGAAAACCAAGCTTCTTCCTTCTAGACCATTTATTAAGCAGAAAATGTGCTGTTAGGATACAGATCATGGCATGCTCTCCCTGCAGAGGTATTGCTTCAATTTTATAGCACTTCTTCCATCACAAATGAGGAATAGTCACATGTCTTGCTGAAAGGTTGTGGGGTCACAGTGTCTGTTAGTCTGTTACTTAACACTAGGTAGAGTAGCTACATTTTACTTTGTTGTAGTGATTACACTCTTGAACCAGACTTGAGATTCCACCTGCAAAAAGACATGCATTGTTAATGTTAACATGTCACAAAAAGTATGTCAGAAAATACAAAAAAATATGCCCTCTTTCTTGCACAGAAGGCCCTAGAAAAGGGGAGATAAACAGTAAAAAGGAAAGGATATGGCAGACGGTGAAAGCACAGAACAGTCTCAGGGTTATGCTTGAAGGAGGAAAGCAAGTATTTCACACATCTACAGAAAGGAAGTATATCAGAGAACTCCCCCTATCATGAACAGAATCAGGCCAGTAATTCTTCTCAAAGCAGAAAAATAGAGCCCTGCTCCACAGTCTTTAAATCAACCCGTAAAAAAACATTACACAAAGACATATTAAAGAAAATTCGATACAGGATAATGAACAGCCTTTGGCTGCCCATTTGTTCTAGGCATTATTAGACCTGGAAGAGAAGGGATACACAATGGTACAGTGCTTGTCAGACCAGAGATTGTGGATGCCAAGGGCCCATAGATACCATATGATTCCTGTTGGTCTAAGATGGACGTTAGTGTAATCTCTACCTGCTCCAGCTCAGTCTCTCTCTCCTCCCAGAACTCGGTGGTGCGTAATGCTCTGTTCTGCCTG